TCATACGAACATAATGTTCTGTCCCTCCCCGTACGTCTTTGCATCCCACGCCTGCGTCTACCAGATGTCAGATGAGGTAGGAGAAATTAAGTTAGGGTTATACTTGCTTTGAGATTGTCTTGTCCTGCTTTTCAAGGCCAAGCTCTCTGTTTTCATTATAAAAAAAAGAGACCGATTTGCATTGGTTGTATTTTATTTCTATTAACCCATTCATAACCATAGCTTGTTTTTAGGTTTGCTTTGCGATTAGCATTTACATTCTACTCATATGGTGACCTGTTTTCTATTTTCAGGTTCGAAATCGGAAGGATATGTATTTGGAGGAATTACACCATATTTTTCATCCTGGGTCGTGTTTACCAGATGAGGTAGGAGAAATAAGTTAGGGTTATACTTTTTTCTAATGGGATACTAGTTGATTTGGTGGCCTAGCGGGTCGTTTAGATAAGCGATCGTTTGTTTGTTGAGGTGTGTTATTTATTGACAAATGATTGAATGCTCGTTTGGATAGATTAATTGTCAATGTAATATTTTTTATAAGGGTAAATACAATTTAATATCCAAACCTTTTATTTTAAACAATATAATAGCCAAACCTTTTCGAAAACAATCTAATATCCAAATCGTCAACTTTCTGTCTGTTTGACCGTTAGTTGACACTTCAAAAAAGTTCGAAGTACGACACTTCATCAATATCCATCGATATCTTCTCTGAAAAACCACCAACATATCGTAGTTCCAAACCCGAGAAGTCCATGACTCCACCATGATGGTATAGAATCTAAATATTCAGTCATCTGCAATGCCAAAACAAGAAACAAAGTTGTATTGTGACAATTTTCCCTAAACAAAACTTTTTTGAAGTGTCAACTAACGGTCAAACGAATGCAAAGTTGACGATTTGGATATTAGATTGTTTTCGAAAAAGTTTGGCTATTATATTGTTCAAAATGAAAGGTTTGGATATTCAATTGTATTTACCCTTTTTATAATGGGCGATACTTGGCTGCTGTCTGTGTTGCAGCCCATGGCTGCCACCTATTGACGTGGCACCATATCATTGGTTCAATGGATATTATTAAACTTATTTGGATTAGGAAGGGACGGAAACCGGACGGAAACTATTTCTTTTCTTGGACGGACGGAGAGCAGCCCAAACGGTGCTGCCTCTTTACATTTTTTTTATTATACTTTTTATATATTTTTTATTAATTGAAAAGGAGATAATAATATTAAACACTCATAGGCATAATTAGTAAATATTCCGTTTAATACACATATATGTATCCATACGTACTTTATTCATTTAAAAGTTTCGTATCCGTATTATTGTCAAGCCGTTTCTTTTTTGTTCGTTCATTTGATAGCTTCCGTATTAAACACGTATAAAACCCATATAATATGCTTAATATCCGTATTTAATGAATTAAATTATTAACTTTATTATTATTATTTATAAATTTATTTATTTTAAAAATAATTAATTTTATATATTTATGACTTTTAACTTACTATTAAACGTAACATTAACATAGAGACAGAGTAAAGTACTCGTACATATTTTATACATAACTTTCTCGTACCGTATTTTACTAACTATGCACAGAGGTGCAATAGTACTTGTTTTCCATCTTAATTAATAAATAATAAAATTGAATTTATATTTATAACAATTGTGTGAATGATATATTGCTTATACAAAGGGTGTAGATTCCAAGTTTTCTCCCACTGAACTAATAATTGATTTTGGAAATTGATCATTGTTCATCACCTAAAATCAACCAATTGTTAAGATATGATTCACTCCGCATCATGGTTGTCATGACGGTGGCATGCCACCCGGTTGAACCTGATTCAACCTGTGCCGGTCATGAAACCGGCATGACACCACCGGTATGATCGGTATGATCGACTTACGCATTCTAAGAAAATGACATCATTTTAATGAATTTAATGAATAAAAATAATGACTTATTATTCATTTTATGAATGTAATAGTTAAAAGTTGATGATATTTGTTGGATTATAACTAAATTGTCCACAAATATATTTTATATATGATTAAATACATTGGATATTAATTATTTTCACATTTTTTTAGACCGGCATGAACCGGCACAAACAGGTTATACCACTGGTCGTACCATTCCACTTGACAAACCGGTACAACGGTATAAACCGGTTTGACAACCTTGCTCCGCATATTATATCACTCCTCTCAATATTAGTTAAGCTGGAAAACAAGTACTAGTGCACTCTGTGTGTTTAATATTATTATCTCCTTTTCAATTAATAAAAAATATATAAAAAGTATAATAAAAAAATGTAAAGAGGCAGCACCGTTTGGGCTGCTCTCCGTCCGTCCAAGAAAAGAAATAGTTTCCGTCCGATTTCCGTCCTTTCCTAATCCAAATAAGTTTAATAATATCCATTGAACCAATGATATGGTGCCACGTCAATAGGTGGCAGCCATGGGCTGCAACCCAGACAGCAGCCAAGTATCGCCCTTTTATAATAGTAGTCTTCTTTATTAAGCTGATGCTTTGATCAAATGCTGAGCAAACTCCTTCGAAGCCAATCAAATTACATATGGTTACATTTCGACGAGAGCACGCACATGCTTTCAGGACACTCACAAATGCGCTGCTTGGCCTGGCGAGAAATTATTGGGTACTCCCGGAGTACCACGTCACCCTGTCTACGTGGTACTCCCGATCACTGATTGCCGGCCATCTGTCATGTTCAGCGTCATTATTGATAACTACTTATATTTATTCCATTTTTTACCATTTACTTTCTCTTTCCTCTTTTAATTGTTTCCCATAATTAATGCCTTAATGGCGCCTCTCTCTTTTTCTGAATGGAAACAACTCTCTTTCTTATTTTCTTTTCTCTTTCCCCGTAAACAACCCATCTTCATCAACCGGAGGTCTTGGGAAAAAACATAAGAAAACAATCAAAGCTTCAAAGTGCCCAGAAGTGTATGATAGGCACTGTGGATTTCTCAGGAAGTTTTTGAAAGACATGTTTGCTTGTTAACAGGATTGAAAAACAGAGGCTACATAGTGGGATTAATTAATCGAAGCTCTGGAACTAGATTAATCAACTCAATTCTAGATTTCCAGCGAGATTAAGACTCGCACTACTAATCCAGTTTAGAATTAAAACTCAACCTAGAGCTTTCACTAGCTGATTCCAAAATAAGAATCGTCTCCAAGAAAGTTATGAACTTCTCCTGTTCTAGTACCTACAATTTTTTGGAAACACGTAATCTGAAAACTATCTAAAAATCCTAGAAACTCGAATTGCTTAAGAACTAAATCTGGAACGGATTTGGACTGGAAGCTGGAGCAATCAAGCTCGAATGAGATAAAAATAAAATAGAGCTTCTTTTTGCTAGAAAAGAAAGAGAAAGAAAATGGGGTAGGAGAGATACTGTTAAAACTTAGTATGGAAAGAAGAGGGATAATTCCCTAAATACACATAAAACTAAAACAAATTCCTAAACTACCACACTTTTAAAAAAATTTCCCAAAATACCTAAGTTTGGAGTGGTTCGAGTTTGAGAAACTCGAACTACTAACCGGTTCGAGTGTAGGAGACTCGATCTACTCGTAGATCGATGATATAAGCCTCGAACCATGTGGGGCTGAAGTGGTTCGAGTTCAGTGAACTCGAACCACTCCTTTGAAATTTCCAACCACCTTAACTTTGTGCTCGGTTATCCGATCGTAGCAAACTTTTTTTTCATTTCGCATAACTTTTTGAGGACTACAACTTTTATAATAGAAATATTTTCAGAATATATGTGAAAATGTGAAAATTAAAGTTAAATTTACTCCCAAAACCCCTTATATTAAAAAATATTCCTATTTTGAAAATTTATTCCTAGTAAATATTGTAGTACTCAAAAAGTTATGCAAAATAAAAAAAAATTTGCGACGTTCGGATTGCGGAGCACAAAGTTATGATCCTCCAAAGTTTGACAAATTCAAAAATTTGCTCGTTTATGGGTAGCAAATGACGTTTTCAAGGAAGATAGCCATTCAAAAATTTATAGTTTTGAAAACTATTGCTCTTTTGGCAGAAATTTCCTATATATAAAAAAATTTCCTTGTGCATTCGCCCCAAGAAAATGTCATTTGTTACCCCTAAACGAGCAATTTTTTGATTTTGCCAAACTTTAGATGATCATAACTTTGGGATCCGTAATCCAAACGTCGCAATGTTTTTTTTTTATTTTGCATAATTTTTTGAGTACTACAACATTTACTAGGAATAAATTTTCAAAATAGGAATAATTTTTAATATAAGGGGTTTTGGGAGTAACTTTAACTTTAATTTTCACATTTTCACATATATTCTGAAAATATTTCTATTATAAAAGTTGTAGTCCTCGAAAAGTTATGCGAAATGAAAAAAAAGTTTGCTACGATCGGATAACCGAGCACAAAGTTAAGGTGGTTGGAAATTTCAAAGGAGTGGTTCGAGTTCACTAAACTCGAACCACTTCAGTCCCACATGGTTCGAAACTTATATCATCGATCTACGAGTAGATCGAGTCTCCTACACTCGAACCGGTTAGTAGTTCGAGTTTCTCAAACTCGAACCACTCAAAACTTAGGTATTTTGGGAAATTTTTTTGAAAGTGTGGTAGTTTAGGAATTTGTTTTAGTTTTATGTGTATTTAGGGAATTAATCCGAAAGAAGACAAAGACTTCTTATTTTGGCAGGAAGGAAGAAGAGAAGATGGAAGACTGAAGACCGGAAGAGAAATAAAAGCAAATAAAATATGCTAAATATCAACACTAATCAATATTAATAATAAACTTGACAGATGGCCGGCAATTAGTGGTCGGGAGTACCACGTAGACTGGGTGACGTGGTACTTCAGGAGTACCCAATAATTTCTCTGGTCTGGTAAGAAATTGGAAGCGTGCAAATTTATTTATTTATTTTTTTTGTAAAATTGGAGAGCCTCTTCACTGGAATCGTTTTGATTAAGCCCTGCAATCAATGCAGCCCAGAAGATATATAGTACGTCTAAGGCCAGAGAGTTCTGTGAAGAGAACGATGCCATCACTTTTCATTTGACCACTCATGTGCATGGTTAGCAGAGAGACGGCCAAAAACTCGTCACTTGATGGAACAGAGTTCCAAGCCAACACATCCCTACCCTCGAGCCAGTCAAATGCAGTTCTCCGCCGAGTCCACATCGCTGACACATGGTATAAAGATCGAACTGGTGGTGGGCTTTGGCCTGCTTGCAGAGCAGGTTTCCAATAGCTGGTCGTAAGCGTAGAAATTAAATTAGGAGTGAGAGGCGGTTGTGGCTGAGAATGCGAGTTGGTTGGAGAGAGTTGCGAGCTTGTAAGGCCGGCGACTGCGATGCATTCACTCGTCGGTGAAGAAAATAACCAAGAAAAAAAAAAAAAAAACAGCTTTCCGCTGCCGAAATTCGAACCCGGTCCAGTTACCACTTTGGTGGTCACCGGATCCATATCCCAGAATTTTCCAATTTTGATGCTACAACGGATTAGTGATACTTTTCCGCATTTTCACTTGTTTAATCTTTCTCTTCTTGCTAAACAGGGATGGAGACTTCTCAATGAGCCTGATGCTTTGTGGGCGCGACTACTGCGAGGGATTTACTTCCACGATTCAGATTTTCGGCGTGCTCGCAAGGGAAGTTCTCCAACATGGATTTGGGCAAGCATTTGGGAATCCCGAAAGACTCTTGAGTTGGGGATGGTACGAGTTATTGGGTCCGGCGAGAATTCATGGTTTCATCGGGATCCATGGCTTCCCTCTTTGGAGGGCCATGTTATCAGAACTCCTGCGGCACCGCACTCTCGAGTTCGTGATTGGATGAATGAGGACTTGACCGATTGGAATTGGAATCTTGTTCACCGCCACTGTTCAATAGCTGAGGCAGAGGCTATCTCCAGGGTTCCAATTGGCCCAACGGACTCAAATGATAAGTGGGCATGGAAATTCACTACCAACGGTGAGTTTTCAGTTCGGACGGCTTACCGTGGGCTTCGACTGCATCGACGACATCTTCTTGCTCCTCACATCCAGGATCTTAACATCCCATCCGATGATGAATGCTGGAAATGGCTTTGGTCCCTTCAGCTGCCTCCAAAGTTGCGTTTCTTCATCTGGAGATGCTTACGGAGTGCTGTTGCGACAAGGGCAAATTTGCACCATCGTAGTTGTTCCCCTTCTCCATCGTGCCAGCTTTGTCACGCTCCGAGTGAGATTCTGCTCCACTGCCTTTTCGAGTGTCCTCATGCTGCTGAGACGTGGAACCGGGTCTTGCCTACGGTTTCTCCTCCCCCAAACTTCAACCAATGGTTTTTTGCCCTCCGTGATAATGCCTCTCCGGACTCACTTCGCCTTCGAGTTTTCTGCCTTTGGAACATTTGGAAGGCGCGAAATGAGTTCATTTTCCGTGGAGCGGTGCTTTCCCCTTTGGCTACCTCAATTCAAGCTTTTCGGGACGCTGCTGAACCGATTCCACCCCTTGCTCACCCTCCCCTTTCAAACCTGCCATCCATCCGACCGTCACATCTTCATCCACCGCCAAGCAATCTCTCTAAAAAGATTCACTGTGATGGATCATTTGATCATGATTCACAGGAGACGGCATTTGGGGTTGTTGTTACTAATTCCCATGGATCGATTTGTGACGGTCGGGCAGGGAAAGTCATTTGTTCGTCCCCGATTGAGGCTGAGGCTCGAGCCCTTCTTGAGGCGTGCTTGGTTGCTTCTTTGGACCATTCTGCGACCGTGATTTTTTCTGACTGCCAACCTATTGTGGAAGCTTTGGATAAGGACTCGTCAGCATGGCCTTGGCGATGCTATGCAATTCTCTCCAATGTGGTTCGCATCCTTTCTACTTCAGATTGGATCGAAGTGCTTTTCACTAAGCGTCAACACAACAAAAGTGCCGATTGGGTTGCTAGAAATGCACGTTGTAACTCTTTGCCTCCCGATTGGATTACGATCTTAGCTATTGTATCACCTTTGTTGTAAGCCCTTTGGCCGATGACTTTTTATTTATTTTAGATCCTAAGTGAATGTATCGTTGCCCCGCTCATAATTCTCAATCTCTCAAAATCGTACGATGGCAAGTCAAATATTTTGGTTTGTGATGCAAATCATGATGAGTCTGTTCATAATAGTAGACATTTCAAAGGAGAATATTGAATATAAAAAATTCATTAATAATATGGGAGACTAAGGTGATGTAAAATAGGGGCTATGGTATAATAATCATAATGAAATTATTTATGAATTAACTACACAAGTTTAAGGTGAACAATTTATTAATCTTCCCACTCCTAGTGAGCTAATGAAAGTTAGGTCCAATACTACAAATATGACATTTAATCCACCAACAGCTTCTACGTATCATAAAGGTAAAACCACAAAGAAAGCAAGACCATGTTTTCTCCCGATAAATCATTGGTCTTCCCTACCTGTGTATTAACATTAACATCTAGAGTGTCGTGGGGCCCTAATTACCATAGACGTCCAGGAAGAAGAACTCTTCCCCACTTGCTTATGTTTCTATATGATCTTATTTCTATCGAAATTAAAATTAATAAGCGAGTAAAGCAACAAAGCAGAATAATAAGCAAGTAGACTTACACCACAAGTTTTGAATTTGAGAAACCCACGCCCATCAAATACTTCTAGAATCAATGTTATCAATGTTGCAAGTTTAATACACTTGACCTAGTGGCCTTTGAACAACCAAGTTACATAACACCAAATAATTGAAATAGGAAACAAATGCATTTTACCCTATCCCCTCTCTAGCCAAAAGGTGAGCATGCCATCGTATAAGGAATTCTCTGGGGTTGAAAATCCATGATACAAAACATGAAAACAGAAGACAATATCATCAATCAAGTATATTTGTAAAAAAATAATGATTAAATAACTTCGAAAAAGAGCTAGACCAAAATGCTTCTGCAAATCAAGTTTGAAAATTTAGTATCTAGTAACATGCACAAATCAGGTAACCTCATATGTGTTGTGATCTAGTATGAACTAAAACCAAAAGGACTGGTGTAATAAGATGGCATAGTAAGTGGATTGCTTCATTTTAAGGTCCAAATTTTTACATCATTTTTTTTCCAACAGGTGTGCAATCTATATTCTACGGCACAAAGGTAAAGATAACCTTGTGGCCTTAGAACAACCGAGTAGACATAACACCCTAAACATCTATCTAAGGTTAACACAATATTTTGGGCACCATTGGCATAGCAAGTATGTATCTGAGAAGGTTTTTTATTAGAATTTGATTAAATAGAGGGTTGACTGAATTTTTAAGAGAATATAAGAGATCATGGATGAACATAGACATAATTCAAATTCATATAAAAAGATATCTCAGTAGTCTTACCCAATTTTAACAATCAGTGCAACCATTGTAGACGCTAGACTTGTTGGGATTCAAATGGAATGAGTCCCGATCTAGTCCCAAGGCATTCCAAAGGTAGTTCTTCTGAATGAGAACCCCTATAACCCCCAAGTTGGTAATGTAATGCGACTTCTCATCTCCCTATGAACTTTGATTAATTGAAATTGATGCTGAACGAAGCTGACATACCACAAATCAACACTTCTAATGTAAGAAAAACCAACCAGATATAAATGATTAAATTATGCATTCAAGATCCTCCTCCCCTCTATGGGAGGACAACATTCCTCTACCCCCTTCAATTTCAGCAATCGGAGACAGGGGACTATGGTGACCACAACCAGTGTTGTTCCTTCATGACTGTTGCCTCAAGAGTACCTGATGGGACTGCAATTGAAGAAGAAACTTAGTAGCTTTCAGTGTTCTGTGTCACACTTTCATCAACTGAAGGGGATCATGTTTGTGGTTGTGGAGATTGAAGGTTAGAAGATTCTGATGCAGAGCTCTAGAGAGGCGGCGCTGGGTGTGTTGGTAGTGGGCCAGTACAGTAATTTGGGCATGTTAACTCTTATTGAAGATTGGAAGGGGAGTTCATGTAAGCATGAATTTGCCCCTCTTAATTTTCTCTTTTGTTCGTGAATATTTTTCTATTTTTTGTGTCTTATATTTTTATTTAAGTTAATTAGAATAATAAAATCAAGTTAACACAAAAAATATCACGTCAACGTATTCCATTACTATAGTCAACATAGGTACACCGATGTTATTAAAATTAATATATTTCATCTATGAAATGACTATATTTATAGTAAAAAAGTGACTATATTTGTCACAAAGGTCGATGTTTTGGTTATGAATTTGTATTTTGGTTAGACTAAACCACACATGTTATTCATTATTTAATAATCAAATCAGTGTTACTTGAGTTTTGATTTCAGAATTAATTTCATTCTATAGACATCACTAACTTCAAAGAAAATATAAAGAATCAAATATCGAATATATCTCTAGTGTGTAATTGAAGAAATTGTAAAAGATAAAATATGGTTCGTTGGTTATAAACTTATAATGCTCTTTCATTTAATATGTAAACAAATGAGGTACAATTACTAAATAGAGTTTTGTAGAATCGGTCTCAGATTTGGCAGCCTATTTGGTAGCCTTTCTTGTTTTCTTTCATTGAATAAAATATCTTCACTTATAAAAAACATTGCAGTCGAGTTGGTTATCATGTCATTTCTTCATTTGAGTGTTCTGATTTTAAATTCCAATAATACACTTTTTTAATATGTAAACAAAGGTAATACAATTACTAAATGGATCTTCCTAAAATCGATTTCAAGCCACAAATTTGGAAATGAGTGTTGTAGTTTTCTTCGCTAAGATCGACATGACAAATTTAAAGGGAAATACAAATTTGAATATACCACATTGCCAATGTGACATGATCAAATAATTGTTCTTGCATTATGTGACCACATATTGATTTCGCGTCATAAAAGTGAATTAGTAAACGTAAGTTCATGCTTCCCATTTCCAGGGAGGCCCTAGAATGAACAAATACCCCCAACCGAGACTAGTAGTTATATACATTATAATGCCACTTGTAGTTTGTTTTGTTTTGTATAGGGGTACATACTCATTGTTGCTTGGTTCGGATTGTGACTTGAAATTTGTTATGTCCTAATTTTAAAAGAAGATAATAAATCCTTAACAGGCAAACAAAGCACAGGCTTTACCTATACGTATTAATATTTACCTTTACATAGAAGAAGATGG